AAAATGCCTGTTTTGTAAGCCTTCAAATGGTGCAGGAAAGGACTTTACATTGTATTATACTTAAAGACAGGGCTATTCAGTTAAGAGAAGAGAAAAAGGAAAGCAAATTGTTATAATGGGTGATGTAACATTAATGACATACATAATATGAGGTCCTTGGCACTGTGTGATCATGGGGCATCACCCTTACAGCATTAGGACAATATCATATGGAGTCAGACACTGGAAGTGTGCTGGAGGCTGATGCGTTGACTGGGACTGATGGAAGGATAAGGCTGATGAGACTGAAGAATCTGTGACGAACAGTAGCGTGGCGTGGGGAAAAAATTAGGGGAAACCAGTAATACGGTATCATTTTACACACATTTGTATCATACAGATGCAGGACTTACACACGCCTGTTATCTGACCAACAGGTCCGCACGCACTCTCCAGCCGAAACTCTAATAAGCATTCATTCACAAACTAAATCAGGAGACCTTTAACGTTTTACGTCCGGTTCGCTCCTTTGTTCCTCGCTGTACACAGCTCCAGTTTGGGCATTGGCCTCTTATCAGATTGTATTTGTTGTTGCTGCTGCAGCGGAAGTTTAGTACAATTATTTTTGATTAAATACTCCAAATCTCCACCCTCCATAATTGCACTTGCTTCAGTTGCTTGCTACTTTCTAACGGCGGTGAGAGTGGTGCAGTGACGCTATATATCTTCTATCGATTAGATTTATGATTCGAAAATTATAAAAGTAGGGTAGACATGTGGATATTATCCGACTGAACAAAACGTGCATTTACCTAACAGGTTCGTTTTCCACTGACCTTTTTTCGAGCTATTTTCCAAAATCCTATGGAGAAATCCCATTGCTATTTTGTCGAGGGAAACCGAGCGCAGCTTACTTCCGCTTTTTGGGACGCGTCACTGCACCACTAAATTGATGCGATTTGAATGGATTGTGAGGCAAGGGAAGCCAGCCGCCTCTGCTGAATATGAGCTTCCTTTAGCTTAGCGCTGGTGACATGAAGTCATGTGACCGTGATGTAATTCCTTCATAGTCTAATGTTAGCTTTTTACGTCTGGTGATTGCATTTACGCTTCAGAAATAATAAAGTGTTGTTTATATGTGGAGATTATACTGCCATAAAAAACATGTTATTATCATAAACATGGGTTTGTCAAAGATCTGGTTTTCCATTGGCTTTTGGTCAAGGGATCACTTACTGAACAATTCTCACTTAATTTATGGGTCGGCCTATAAAAATACGTCATCACTGCACCACTCTGTAGGGAACCTGATTAACTAAATGAGACAATCTGTATTCTCTGAATCTTTTCTCCCCGTGTCATCACTATTGGATCATTTAATGAAGATAACTGCAAACTTCTGAAATAACTTTGATTTGGGAAACAGTTTGGAAAGTGTTAATGCAAATACTCAATTATAATGCCCCTATGTGTGGTTTTGTATTGTATCTGTTATTTATCTGAAGCAAGTGAAATGGGAAGTGACAGATTTGTTGTTATATAAATATGAATGGCAGATAAAGCTTTAATGAAGAACTACAGGAAGGTAGAGCAACAAACAAAGGACAAATCCTTGTAGTAGAAAACTTCTTGATGGGAAAACTAACATATTCATTGAGATTACAACAATTGTATTTAGTTTTTCTAAGCCGAAAAATATTTAAGTGAAATACTTTTTGACTTTTCAGGAGTTAGCCAGGCAAATCAATCAAACATCTGAAGTGAGTTAGTTTCTGATCAGCAGCCAGGTACCTTTGATCAGCAGGAGCCAGATCTTGTCCGCAGCGTTGGTGAAAACCAGGATGAGTTTCTGCACAACGTGACGGCAGCTCAGGTCTAACGGTAGTGTGACAGGATGCCAGGGTTCCTGACAGTACCTGAAAGCAGCACAGCAGGCAATTTGTCATATCAAACTGGAGAATCATGGTAATGTCTTGTCTTGTATACCTCACCCATTTTTTCCATCTTTCGTCAAGAATAATAACTTGATTTCAAATTATGATGATTTCTTTTTGAATATATATTTTTTATTTACATATATCTTTTCCACCAACAGTTTATTAAGTTCTCTTATTTTAACCAACTTCCTGTAATTTGATACATTTTTGTTACTGGAAACTGTTTTGATGCAGGGTGGATTTCCCCCCATTCATTTACTTAAAAAGCTTTATCAAAACAAAAATGATACTAAATCAAATACCACAAAAGATATCAAAAATAGTATGCATGCTGTAATTTTAATAAAAAAATTTCCTTATATGTTTTGTAGGACATAATGTGTAATGTGTACGTTTTGTAGAAAAGGACAGTGAGAGGCTGAGTCTTCTCTAAAGATATATCTGAGTTGAATCGTAATGTGTTAGGACATCTTTAGCTTATCTTAGCAAAGAGACTAAGAGTTTAATGTTGTACTTGAGCCCGCAGTCGATGATCCGGATGATGTCTCGTCCTCTCAGAGGGAGGACAGCCTTTCTGTCCCACCAGCCGGCCTGAAGAGACTCCTGATCTGATTCTAAAATAGTCTTTAGACTCCCACCTGACACACAGAAACACAAACAAGTTGTTACATGTCTAAAGAAAAACACCTTAAGCTATCTACACTGTAATATATTCCTATAATAAATCTTAAATAAGTCCTATTCTGTGACATGTCTCCATGCTTTAATGTTCAAAAAGCTCTTTATTTTCCTCATACTGCCTGTGCTGCAGCACCTCTTTTCACCCTCTGTCGGAAACCAGAATCCAGTCTGCTCTGATTGGTTTGCTGGCCAGCTCTGTTATGATTGGTGAACAACTTAGCGATGTCCTTCCCCCTACAATTTGTTGGAGTGCTAGCCAATAGAAGCGCCAGCGTTACATAGCGATATCAATAGTTTCAGGAAGTAAACAAATGAGTCCGATAGAGGTGTTTCCAGGCAGGGGGGGGAGTGTATGGGAGAGAGTCTCCCTCGGGAGGGAACAAAGGGATTTTAGCCTTTGCAGACCATTTACATGCACTAAAACCTAGATAACACACTACAGGAAAGGGAACATCTTAAAAAGCATATACGGCCTCTTAAGGTTCAGAGACACAACGCTAATCTATCGATTAGATTTATGATTAGAAAATTATAAAAGTAGGGTAGACATGTGGATATTATCCGGCTGAACAAAACGTGCATTTATCAAACAGGTTCGTTTTCCACAGACCTTATTTCTAGCTATTTTCCAAAATCCTATAGAGAAATCCCATCGCCTTTTTGTCGAGGGAACCCGAGCGCAGCTTACTTCTGGGTTTTAGAACGCGTCACTGCACCACTCTATATTGTCGAGGAGGATTCTAAAAGGCACAGAACGACTAACATGTGAGTGTGATATCATACCTGTGATTTTGGCGAGGAAGTTAAAGCGGATCCACTGTGGTCCCTGCTCCTGGATCAGCAGCAAGGTGATTGGTTCGCAGTCAAACCCCGCCTCTTCCTTTACCTGCAGACAAACAGAGCGGTATCCCAGGTAACAGGGAGCGTGTTAGGGAAGTATAGTACGGTGGCCCTGAAGTGCAAGACACCACAGCATTTCACAAAACGCCAAAGCATTTCAGAAAACACCACAGCATTTCAGAAAACACCACAGCATTTCACAAAACACAACAGCATTTCAGGAAACACTACAGCATTTCAGGAAAAACTACAGCATTTCACAAAACACAACAGCATTTCACAAAACACAACAGCATTTCAGAGAACACAACAACATTTCAGAAAATACTACAGCATTTCAGAGAACACAACAGCATTTCACAAAACACCACAGCATTTCACAAAACACAACAGCATTTCAGAAAACACTACAGCATTTTAGAAAATACTACAGCATTTCAGAAAACACTACAGCATTTCAGAGAACACTACAGCATTTCAGAAAATACTACAGCATTTCAGAGAACACAACAGCATTTCAGAAAATACAACAACATTTCACAAAACACTACAGCATTTCAGGAAACACTACAGCATTTCAGAAAACACCACAGCATTTCACAAAACACAACAGCATTTCAGAAAACACTACAGCATTTCGGAAAACGCCACAACATTTCAGAAAACACTCCAGCATTTCACAAAACGCTACAGCATTTCACGAAACACCACAGCATTTCACAAAACACCACAACATTTCACAAAACACTACAGCATTTCACAAAACACCACAACATTTCAGAAAACACCACAGCATTTCACAAAACACCACAGCATTTCAGAAAACACTACAGCATTTCAGAAAACGCCACAGTAGTACAGTACTTTTTATCTTTTCATTCATCAAATTGTATCTCTTCCACCAGTGGACAGTGCTTATAGAGGCTAAGCCAACGCTTTAAGCCTCTGAGGATCCGCTTTGTTGGCGTAATTTACGCACACAAAGTTTGCTGCTGAATAAAAGTCCGAAACAAAGTGTCCACTTGATACAGTCCATTTATTTCCTTTTCACTGGTTTCCATTTGACTTGAGTCTTTCTCTCATTCACCATACACGATATTACGGTTCACACAATACCTTTTGCAAATGTTTGTAATCCCGTGTTTGTGCGTGTTCTCCGTGTGGTCCGTGTGTGGTCAAAAACTGTAACAGTAGTGCACCATATACCTAGAGCAGACTGTCCCCACGTACAAGACTGCCTCTCGTGGTCCTCTGGCCGAGGTTGTGAGGTTTAACCCGTCATCCAATGGGTATTCCTCAGCATGTGTACCTCAAAAACGCACCAGCCACCACACAAATCACTGGGTCTCCGCTAACAAGTAACAATTACATATGTCAGTTATGAAAGAACAATAATCGTAGACAACGATCGAATACGATTGCTTATATTTTTCGAAAAAAAGTTTCACTCATTTCCTGTAGAAATTACCATAATATCAATATTTTTTATTCTCTTATTTCATTTGTCCATATTTTATGATATACCTGTACATTTTTTTTCAACAATAATTATTGTTCTTATAGTCAAACTTTCCCCTCACTAAACCATTTTATAGGGTATTTCTTTTTCCTTTAGAGAAGTCAAGACAAAGTATTACCTACAACTCTCTAACATAGGTATCTTTAGAGAAGTACAACGAGAGTTTCACGTGGTCTAACTACTGAAAATGAATTTGTAAATTTTGTTTAGAAGGCCCCCTCCTACCCTGGGGGGGATCTCCTCCAAGCCAGGGGGGGGGGGGGTGAATTTAGTACATAGTGTACCTATCCTATGATTTATGTAAACCGTGTTGTAGAACACATGTATAGAAAGGACAAAACCACCAGTACGGTGTTGGCCACGTGAACGTACGGTTAACGTGCTGAGGTACCACTCTATAGACCTAAGGCTGCCAACGGACAAAGGAAACCGTGACGTACTTTTCTTTCCGCTTTACTTACCCGACACTAAAATCATAAAATTCGTCTCCAGTATAAACACGCCGGGGGCCTCCTACAAACTTTTTTAACTTGTTACCGGGAACTCTCCTTTTTCCAAGGCGGTGGGGACCATTATGTTCCATTCTTGGATACAAACACCCAATCTCCAAGGCCGGCTTCCGGTATGTCAAAACTTTGGTGTGTGTGTCTCGTGTGGTGCCTCTTGTGTGTGTGTGCAGTGTGTGTGTGGTGGTGTGTGTGTCGTGTGTCGTGTGTGTGTGTGTTGTGTGTGTGNCAAAGTGTCCACTTGATACAGTCCATTTATTTCCTTTTCACTGGTTTCCATTTGACTTGAGTCTTTCTCTCATTCACCATACACGATATTACGGTTCACACAATACCTTTTGCAAATGTTTGTAATCCCGTGTTTGTGTGTGTGCTCCGTGTGTGTGTGTGTGTGTGTGTGTGTGTGTGTGTGTGTGTGTGTGTGTGTGTGTGTGTGTGTGTGTGTGTGTG